GGGGCAGGGAGGAGGGCTCACCATTGAGTAGCTCCTCCCAGAAGATTCTAGCCATCGCATCAAGATTTGACGCCACCACGGAAAGCACCTTGCCAAAAATACCTAGCGGAGCGAAGCACTTTCCTACTTCTTTCAGACTATCACCCAGGATGTGCTAGACGATTCGAAGGGTCCGTGAGCTGAGACAAAGCCAGTTACTCGATCACCTCGATCAGCTGCCGTCACGCTCACCTCGATATACCTCCTCTGCATCACCGACCACTGGGCCGACATCGAATCCAGATTCTCTTGAGCGTCCAACAGCTCAGCCTGCCAACTACTGAAACCAGTAATTTCGTGGCGCGCGACATACATGATATCTCTCCTGCGATTTCCTCCTGTTCTTCAACCCTTCAGCATCATCTACCTTAGCCTCAAGCTCGATGATGTAACGTCTAGTCAAAAAACTATTCCTCTTTCACTGCATCGCTCCGCCGACCCCACCTCTGCGAATCCAGCCTTTTTTCAAGTTCATCAAGTTCCTCCGAGAGCTTCTCAGCCTACAACCAGTAAACGTCCTCGGTCTTCCCAAGTCCCTCAACTTACACTTTCAGAGGCACCATCGCGAGCCATCTGCCGATCCAGCAGGTCATTGAGCCAGATCTTGATGCAACTCAGCTCAGCTCCTGGTCCCTTCTTCTGTCCTCTGGCTCTCTGTTGCTGCCTAACCTGCGCTGCTGGGCCAAGGGACTTCTTACGAGAGTCGACCCCTGAGGAAATACACAGCAGTTCGCCATACCACACGTCCTCCATCACAGTGGCCATCAATATGGCCCCATCGAACAACTACCCTATAGGAGGCTCTCGCGCGTAATAGACGGTCATAGATCACACGAGATGGCGCGCAAAGTAGCCAGTAGCAGAAGTCAACAGCTTACGCCTCTTCTGAGCCTCTTTCAGTGCATTCAGTTGCTTCAACAATGTCTCATTGCGAACAGTCAACGTAGTGACAGTCTTCTTATTGGACTGAGCACACAATATGACAGTCTTCCGAGGACGCCTGGATAGCACATCAGCGTTCTTCTTAGCCTCCAATGTCTTCTTGGCCTGTATTCGCTTCAACTGGTTTATCACCCTATCCCTGTCCTGGAGGATCTTCCGATGCGCCTGCAGTCCAAAATCTCAGCCATCATCATTACGAATAACAAACAAGTCAGGATGCCAAGAATCTCGTCGCACGAAAAATAATAATATTTTTTCGGTTTTAATAAAATTTAGATTATAGCCAAAAATGCTACGAACTCATTGCGAAGATTCCAAGGCCAATTCATGAGATCCTTAGACTCACTTCGTCATGTTCCTTCCTTTGCTTCTGAATTCGAACCTTCTCCGCCTTAGCCATCGACAACTCCTTTTCCAGGCGAACAACCTGCCATTGACACTTCTATCGACCTAGCCTACCACACCTTTCCAAACTTACCTCCTGTCCACATCGATCCTTAGCCTTCTGAATGCTACTCAATTCCCGTCGTAGCTGCTGCATCTCCTTCTGTTGTTGGTCCAGCATCCTCTGATTATCCCGTTGCCTGAAAAAAACGCTAATAATCATAAATCGCTTCGCTCCGCCCTCACTTCCTCTCCAGTAACTCCGTCATTTTTCTGTCGCTCTTCTTAGCATTTATCTGTGCTGCTAACTCCTAAATACAATCAATTAACAGCGGAGCGAAGCAAATCATTTTCCCACCTCTTTTTCCTTATTGGCCTTTTCCACCATGCCTTCATACATTCTAATCTTCTCGAGGTATGCCTGTTGCATAGCTGTATGGGATTCGTGCTCATCCCGAAGGCCCTGCAGATGCCGCTCCTGGGCCGCGATACTGAGCACAGCTCCACTATATGAGACTGTATATCATGTGACTCATATTAATACTTTTTCAAGCTACGTGGATATAATCGTGCGTGAAAAAATCACATTCTCAAACTTATTACATACTCTCATACTTTGAGCATGAGTCCCTCATATGCGTTGCTTCCCAAAGTATATGACACTTTCCACTACATGACAACGAGGAGTCGGTCCTTACCTTCGGCGTAGACTATCACCACCCTCGACTTTTCCTTCGCCACCATTCTTGTTGTCCATCCAGTCGCTTGTAGCATGCAGCAAAGCTTCAACCGCTCCCGCCAGATCCTCCTCCTACCCTCAGAAGTTAATTTTGTGGCGCGCGAGAAATGCATCCGTGCATCACCTCCCCATCCCCTCGGTGTTCCCCTCCTTCTCCCACCATGCCGATCAACTCCGACAAATTGCTCTCGTCCAGTTCCAAATGCTGCAAAATGAACTCACCAAAATACACGTGACGTAACCTCTCCACCTTAGCCAAGCGGTCCGTGACATCCCCAGCACTGCTAGTAGACGTCGTGTCACCATCGACAGAAGAGGTATCAAGACCCGTCTCTTCCGGAGGTGCCTGAGGGAATCAATGCTTCATCAAACTATAGACATTTACATGTAATACACATTGTAGTTTCACCTGCTTTACGTGAAGTGGCGTAATACTCTGTGAAAAAGCCGATATTCGCGATATGCAGTAATCGTGAAATATAGTTTTCACTAGTGATAAATGAAAAGTATATAACCATAGATCCATGGATACGATGATCAGCTTCCTCCCCGAAACCAATATGCAGTAGTATCATAATTAGGAAATCAACAACTCTCTTCCGAGTTTCAACAGATCCTTCTCTACATATGAGATTTGATTCTGGGACTGCATTCAGGAGTAAGAATACAGTACGTGTCAATTTGATATGCAAACGTGTGTAATTTGCCAGACTCATTTGTGAGGATCGATTAGAAGCTATATCGCATATACAATGTAACGATGGCTATGAACATGTGTTGTGATGAGAGTACCCGTTTGGGACTGTGATGATAGCGACAACTTGTTCACTATCACTTGTCCTCCAAAATTGCATCTCAAATTCACACGTACTGTAGGTCTATTGCGGACTACAACACTAATTCCAGAGACAGTAGTATTATTCGAATATATAAGAGTAGCAGCTAGTATACGCGAACAAAACCAACTCGAAACTCTCAGGAGCAATCCTCGCATTCACAGTATCACGGCATATAGTCTCGGACAAAACACACCTCTGCGATGTGGGAGAATATGTAAGTGCTCAGTTACAGATGTTGGTGTCACCAACTTGGTGACGATACAAAAATGCCGAGAAAATTTTTGAAAAATCGTCTAGATCTCTGAAAACTTCAATCCCAATTCGTATATGAGCCCTCCTTTACTAAATGAGGAAACTCCTGAGATCCGTTGAGGAAAACGAACATAAACATATATTCCAACTTTGTGCGTTGGTGACAATATAAAAATTCTGAGGAAAGCTCGTGAAATTCTTAGTGGTTTACATACACTTCTACCCGAATTAGTATGCAAACTCCCAAGCTCAGCTGATGGAAGAGACCATATATTTCTCCAGCACTGTACCTCTGTATCGCCCCTAAGTCTGCTGTTCTCACTGCCCAACTGTTTGTTCCGGGCCCACACCTTAGCCATAACATCGCGGTACTCTGCCAGTTGCGACTCCAGTGATGCGCACCTGCTCGTCGCAGACTTCCTCAAAAGCCACATTCGAGAAATGCCCATTCTCACCGTTCCTGTAGGCGTTTATTGGCGGCGCGTTGCATTTCCATCGAGTTCCTTCCGTCAGCATCACAACCCTCAAAGCCGGGCGACGACGGTGGGGGGTCGAAGCCCTCCCCAGACGGGTCCAGACCACGAGCAACACACAAGGCGTGAAGATCAGAGTACCTTGAAGAGATATTCAGTAACCGCTCGTAGAATCTAGAATGAGTCCCTGAGCAGCAGTTACGAGTGATGCAGTTGGCCCACTGCACATTCGCCCGCACTCTACTGTTCTCACATAGAGAATGAGTGAGGCTGGTCAGAAGTCTCGTGAGATCGTAGCAATAGTGATGTACTCGGAGATTCCGTCACGCGCCACGAAATTCAGATAGTGCATATACACGGCATACCCCCTCGTCGGGCGCGCGCTACTTACTTCTGTTGCCACTGTTCCACCTCAGCTCTGATGTCCTCAGCATTCTGACCAGATCCATGGCCCATAAACCGCAGCTTCTCCTCAGTGAGATCTCGGATCTGCAATGACCAACAGCAACGGCAACCGTCGCCGCCTGAGCGTTCCCTTCACCTGTTGTCTCAATTCCATCAGCAACTTCTTCGTCGGGTCAGTGTTCACAACAGGTCTATTTGTGATGCAACGAGCGCGACTAGCATACCTACTCCCACTATAGACGGTCATGGCTTAATCCTATCCCACTTTATCGTGTTGTAGGTCTCTGCAAAGTCCGCTCCTGCTGGCGACACACAGGCTATCATCACCGTACGAGAGTTGCCTCCCAACGAGTCCTGACCAATCCAGTTCAATTACATTGCGAAGCGGGATCCGTCACGCGCCACGAAATTCCTGACCAGCCCTTCCCACCTGGAGTATCCTAGTCAATTTACTGTCTCTGTAAGGGATCTGAAGCGAGCTGTGATAAACTGGTTTATCTCGCATATCCAGCGTACATGAGACTGAGAGCCTCCACCAGTGGCGTCACCACCACCCACTGCTCCTGTTGTAGCACCACTGCTGTTTTCCTCCATAGCTGAGCTCAACGCGCATATGACGTTTCCCAGAGCCAACAGGCCACTGAG